CACGTTGTTATCCTTTGGCCCTTCCCAGAAACAATCATATTTCGTGCATGAATTGCCCACATCAAGGGCACTTACGATTTCGCCTAAACCACATGGAAGTTTGTAACTCAAACACCGATGAAAAATGTTTGGGCGAATATTGTCATGTTTGGCAAATGGCTAATGAAGTGACCTCCAATAGCTAATAGATCATGCTAAAAGGGATGGAAAAAGGGGGGTTTCAAATGTGTATCGTATCTAGGTAACTGGGACCTCACTAAGCACGATAGATCCGTCTCGGGTATTAGACGAAGGTTCTGAATATCTTATAATATGAACTTCTCCTAGTATTGCTCTTTCTTTCCGCAGTTATTACCGTTTTTCTTTTTACAAATAATCAATAGTAAAAATGTCTTCAAAATGAATAAGCATCCTACCAATTATTCGATTTACTGAATCCCAGGCAAAAGGAAGAAAGAAAATGTTTATATATTAATTTGTATATGTATATTTTACATACATGTACTTTTTCTGCAACTTATATTTTGCGCGAGAAGGATTCAAATAAAACAATGAGTTAAAATATTAATGTTTTAACAACACGCTAGCACTAAGTCATCTTATTATGTTGTACCCTAAACGGTTTTGCGTTCAGTGTTCTAAAATATACATAGCAAGATTTCTGTTAATTGAATCTGTGTTTGGATCTGACGCAAAGAAAACAAGCTATTTTATCAATTCAAATCATAGAAGATAATATATGAAACTGGTTTTTGGGAACAAAACATAAGTTGCCATTTTTATTTACACCTACGCATATACGTGGAGACGGATGTACATTGAAAACAGAAGGGAAATGAAGATTGAAAAATATGACAAAAATAAGAAAAAGAAGAAGAAAGAAAGGAAAAAGAAGAATGATATATATTATATTCATTAATATATATATTTATATATATACTCTATAATATATTATCTATATCTATTATATTATATATGATGTTCACATTTCATCAGAATGTATCAAGATATTAGATATCGTCAGCACATTATTGGGAGTAAATAAATAGACTTTGATATTCATCCCCGAACTTAATGGGAATAATAATAGCCAAAACTATTGTAAGATTTTAGTACTAGAAACGAATTCTACGTATGTTTCGTTACTCATCACAAGCACTGACTTAAGTATATTAATATACGCTACACCCACACACACACACACACACACACACACACACACACACACACACACACACAAATACCACACACAATTGATACGCAATTTACATATTATTGTAACCCTACAACGGTTCTTGCGTCAAATCATGTCTATTATGAAGAATTGTAGCATATTTTCGTTTATTTT